AAGTTCCAGACCATATTCTACCCTTGTTTCAAATTTCATCCCGATCCTTTCAGCCATTTTGACGTGAAGGGGTAACAAACTAACGAGCAGACATAAAAGCTTTCGCATTAATAATATTAGAAGGAGTGTAAGGTTGTTATATTTACCAAAAATTTGCTCTTCAGCAAGGTCCTACTATGTCCACTTACTTTATATCATTGTAATTACTCAGTACAACACAAAGGTATAATATCATTCATATTTAAATAGAGGTATATATTTGTTCCCTACAAGAAACTGCATTGGTAATTTATTATGCATTCTATGTAGTTGTTTTAATTACATAAATATTATGTAAGAGAAAAAAATTAATGAAGTTTTATAAGTTCAAAGGGCGCTGTAGCCATATAATCTAGGCATAGATTTCATTATTGACTTAGGGCTCGTACACAAAACTGCGATGCGAATTCGCATCGCAAAAATGTGCGAGCTCCCTCTACACATCGCAAGAACTTGCGAATTGATTCGCAGTGCGCATCAAAATCGTATCTTTCCAAAATGTTCTTTGTTTCTTTTTCCTGTATCTCCTAAGCAATAGCAGAAGTGCACACTTATTTTTCCGATCTATGTCACAACCTAGTTTTTAATTTAAAATACGTTTAGTACGGTTGACGGTCGTTGAAGGAATGGTTACCCAGGGAGACGCTTTGTCGCACGAAATCGCATCGCAGCAATTCGCATCGTAATTTTATGAGTTGCGAATTCGCATCGCATAGCATCACAGTTTTGTGTACGAACCCTTAAAAAGTGCCTTCATTTAAGGGTGTGTTACTCTTCCTTCTTCTGTTGGTACATATTGTTGAGTACTCAGATGTTGTGGTGGTTAAGGTTAAACAGTTACCCTTCAGGAATGAGTTTCTAAATAATAAAGTGTGTAGCTCACGAGTGTTTCTAATCGGGTAATAACAATTTACAAATCAAAGCATAACGCCATATAATGGAGTTTGCAAGGAAACCGTTTCAAACTTGTTTTAAAAACATTTAACATTGCATAATTTATGTATCATATTTGGTTATTTTTATTACTTTGTGTACGAGAATACGAGTATGCGACTTTTTAGGTTACGATAGAATAGAGGTAGTGAATATTAGAAAAAAGATAATTTAAACGTGTTTACATTTTTACAATTTGCTATACGTACACAGTTCACAGTTCACAGTTCACAGTATGTATGGATATTTATAATAAAAAATCTGCAAAGTTATGTACATATGTTATGTACAAAAATATCAAACGTTTTGTTTTACTAAATATTCGCACCAAAACATCCGAAGGTTAATAAACAAAAACGAACAATGTGAGGCTCGTAAAGAGGAATTTTGACACACGTAGAATGGAATTCGCCCCTCGGTTGCCTTCTCAAAGAATTATGCAAGTGCTCTAGTACAATAACAATGGAAGCGATAAGCGTATGTGGGCTAGCAGTGGTGGTAAGTATGGTGAAAGTGTCCGAGCTGGGTCCGCGAAGGTCGGCTCAGTGCCGGCCGCGGCCGCTGACGTAGCTGCCACGGCTGCCACCAGCCAGCGGCCGGCGTGCACGCATCGCCGTCACTGACATTACCGATCCAAATGTCACGCAAATGTCAACATTTACTCGTGATTGTAGACTTGTTCTTAATAGGTACCTATTCAATAGTCGTAAATATCGAAACGACTCAAGGAAGCTCTGTCATCTCAAAAGTCGTTCCCAGAAAATTTTGTTGCGTTTTTTCAAGGGTCGGGCGCTACTATAAATAAGTTTAACAAAGTAAGTATAATACAGAGCGAAGTTAAATATCTTCATTATTAGGACAGGTGTGAGGTTAACACGAGTGACGCAAACGGTTGATCGTAAATAAAACATTCTATAAGTATTATGCCTGAACTAAAACAATAAGATTCTTTTATAACCTTTATTTTCTAAATACCGGTGTGACAATATGTGTAATTAATGTGTTCGAGTTTTTATGTTGTTTTCGATCGCACACGTACGTAGGTAGTTATTCATTACAATACGCGATACAGCCAATGGACACTCGTTTAATAAACAAACCTTCATGGTTTTAGTAATTAAATGAAGAACAGTAATTAAGTTGTTTTGTGTTACATGGATTACATGTATTATGTAAGGTAGTGTTGTAAATGTGTGTATAATTGAGTGGCTTGTGTCTGCGTGCACGTGCGAGCTGCACGCGATAGTGGCGGAGAGCGGAGAGCGGTGCACAGTGCGCAGTGTTACCTCGCGCACCAACTGAGATGTACTTGCCTACATACACACCTACATACATATGTACATATAGTTCGTGCTACCAAAACATCCGGAAGTTGGTACCGGTGCATTTTTCTGACGATGACGTATTTAAATTTGCTCTCAATTTTTTTAAAGCTAACTGTGCTATTACGTATTGAATCTTACTCGTGATACAGTTGTGTTTTAATAATAAAACGTAGTGCACACATTTCAGATTCTATTGATATTGGCCTTTTGTCATAAAACAGTAAAAAAGTTGATTTGAATTCAACATAACTGGTTATAATGAGATTTGATTGAAAAAAATTATAAATAGAAATAATAAATGTCTTTACTTATTTTACTTAAGTATTAAGATAAGAAAAGCAATTAATAATAATAACTAAGATTGATATTTTTCATTGAAACACCAATTAACTGTTAGAAACCGGTTTGTTTTTAAGTGGAACGATACTCATAGTTATTGGCGAGCGAAACTGGCCAGTCAATCTCGAAACCAGGGCTACGGGCGGGGTTCTTTAAATGAATAATTAAACACGTGCTTGCACTACTCTACTCGTAGCATAAATTAAGTGAGAGTAGTCGTTCTGACTTATTGCCTCAGTGTAACTGGCAGGCGAGACTTCGAGAGCAACGTTTCAACAGACCGTTACTAGTTTATCGCGTCTATCATTTGAACACATCTCTAATGCACGTATATGTCTATGAGATGGTGATGAATCACCATCGCAACACAAAATGATCACCATTAAAAATGAAATGTATAAAATCTCGTAGCGCTCCCGGTTACGCCGTAGCCGCGTAGCATCTTTCGTAGCGATGATGACGTGGCAAAGAAAGCTAATGAATTTTAATATACTATGAGAGTTATGCATATTTTAACAACAAGAAATTGTTACAAACAAGTTGTTTATGATTTATTTTATATAGGTGTAGTTGTTTGATTTCCAGTCATAGCTCAGCTTTCTACGTAAAACTGTTTCCTAGATTGAGAACTACATATTATATTTTTTCAATTACTCTGGCCTATAATCTAGTGTTATGTTTAGTAATGGGTTGAATCATTCATATTGAAGTTTTTATTTTGTAATTATTCTTGCCGCTTATTGCTCCGGTTAATTAGTTAGGCATTAAGTAAGTCGATTATGCATGTAAAGTGCTCGGCCGGAATAAATAAAAATCCAGCACCTGATTTGAAATTTCAATGACTTCTAAACTCATTACAATCGTACTAAATATAAACTAGTTTGTTGTGAACATTGCTTACTCAGCAACGAATTATTTGACCTAATGTAGACAAGTTGTAATTTAATAATGTGAACTGTCGATTTATTTTATGACACTCCCTCTCTCTCTCTCTCTGTCTCTCTCTCTCTCTCTCTCTCTCTCTCTCTCTAAATCTATTTCAAAGGAATTTTCTGAACACTAACTATTAAACGAAGTGTATGTTAATCTAGCACTTGTACAGCTTATCGAGAATCATAACACTAAAATGGCGCTTTCCATTAATATACACCTCGTATATGTATACTCTGTGTATGTATACGTTATATACCTCTATATTGTATATAAGCGTGTCATTTGTAGCGCGGTTGGGCGCCGCGTGGGCGCCGCGCCTGTCGCCGGCCACCGGCGGCGCCGACCCACCCCCCAACCAGAAAAAGAATACAGAAGCGCCATTCAGACTGTTTCATTAAATTTTGTTACTAATTGACAAAATAAAGAAGAGTGTTTTCAGTAAATATTTTATAGTTACTGGTTCCATTTCATGATTAACTCAAGAGAGAAATGGTTTCCCAAGCAGCCTTAGATAGAATAAAATAATTACCTACAAGTTATACATTTCAGATACCATAAAGATATTTATCTGACAAACTCTCTAGCTACTTTTTAGTCAGTCGTAGGTGTAGACATTGTTTTTCTGAGTCATTTGTACAGTGTCCGGCGCCTCAACTTAGCATGTACGACATGGCATCACTGTCATTACGTTCAACTAGCTGCCCACCATCAACCCGACACTGGCTATTATCAGCTATTCAAATTTTACCAGCGCGCGTCATCAACTACGTCACACCCTGTTATCAAGGGACGACAAAATTTTGATACGTATTTGCTAAATTAATTGTTGCGTGGGTTGGTGCTTCTGCTTATTCAGCCTGAAAGACTACACGAAAACTTTACTATACCTAACATTTCTACGAAAGAAAATAACTTTAAATAAGCCGTGTTCATCCAGAAAGAGTAAAGCGATAAGATATCCTTAACATTTTTAAGAAACATATTTTCTTATTGTATATTGAGGTACTGTTGAGCCAACACATGTAAATCATGTGTCGATTGTAAGAATATGTAAGCGGTGGTGTTGCATCTCTTGGAGTGTAGCCAAAAATCAAGTGGCCGTATTTGTTCGAATTCCGTAAAGGAAGGCAATATTTTTCGGTTTGTGTAGAACGACCTGTGCGGGTGGTGTTATCTCGTAAACAAACTTCCGTACGATAGTCGTCGAGCCAAACAATCAACAGGTATATTTTGTTAAAAGACGAATAAATATCACAGTTTGTCATCTTTCACTCGTAAAACTGAAAATACAAGTAAATCAATATAACAATGATGAGATTCAATTCTCTTGCTGCAAACATTTTCAAGTTCATTTAATTATCTATGGTACCAATTAACCAACATTTTAAAGAAAATTAGTACGTAAACTTAAAATATTTTTTCTTGTTCCAGACTTAAAAATGCCCCAGTGGGCGAGTGCTGAGGGTGGAGGCTCAGAAGCCGAGTCGCCCGATCAAGTGATGTTGTACTTCGAAGACGAAACCTCCGAGTACTACGATAATAAACCTGACATTGCTGATAAAATTGAACAAGCTGGAGGTAAGATCAATAAAGTCATTATTAAACAAATAGTTCGGATTTAGTTCTCTCCTTATAAATACCTGCATACTATGAAAAGGACAGTCTTAGTGACATTTGAAACAATCAAATGCTAAAAACTAATTATGTAATACCGTTTAAACAATACCTATATTAAAATACACTACAATATGTGTTCGTAATCGATAGTTAAATAAACAGAAACTTATTTTGAATACAAATTTACTGAATATAATTTATAAATGTTGATGGAATGCATCGCAGGCGGGGACCAACAGAGGCTTATTTATAGTCATTTCGGTTGTGCACCATTTAGCAGAATTTTCGTTGGTGGCGGTCAAGGTGGTCCCCGCCTGCGATGCTTTCCATCAACATTTATAAATTATATTCAGTAAATTTGTATTCAAAATAAGTTTCTGTTTATTTAACTATCGATTACGAACACATATTGTAGTGTATTTTAATATAGGTATTGTTTAAACGGTATTACATAATTAGTTTTTAGCATTTGATTGATCAATATTATTGTGGGGCTTGTTTTACTCTTTTTTTAGTGTGCAGTCGGGTATTTTGTTTTTTTAATAATAATTTTTTTATTTATAACTTTTTAGCTGTTTTTATTTCGATATATACAAATAGGGATATATCGAATAAAATCGCTATTTAGAGACGACCGTCAACGACGTGTGCCCTCATGCGTGTGCCCGCAATCGGGCTGTATACTCGAGCATATCCCCCTCCGCACCGCGCCGCGCGCCGCATGCCAGGCCACGCCCTATCTTTTTGCTTGCTAACGCATGAGTTGCTTTGCGTTGACGCAGAATTAACATGTTCCCGTGGGAATTTTGAGAAAAAACGTATCCTATATTAATTACTCCCGTGATTGAAATGAATCTAATGATACCGCATACATATTTTTTTAAAGGGAAATTTAGAAAAAATATTATTATGTCTTTATCCCGTGGGACTTTTAGGATAAAATGTATCCTATGACACTCCCGTAATCAAGACAAATCTAACGATACCTCATACATCAAAATCCATCAAGCCGTTTAGGCTACAGGTGGTCACAAAGGAAAAGACATACATACATACTTACATACACTCGAAAAACATTACCCTCCTTCTTTGGCAGTCGGGTAAAAAATAAAAACCGTGCGTAGACATTCCACTCACTGTTACATGGACGTGTGTGTATTAGAACTGTACAATAAAGCTGAATAGTAGTGCATAATAGTTCATTACTTAGTATTGCACACTCTGGAGAAAATAACTAGGCATTATATGTATAAACTGCATACTCAGATAAAACTTAAGAATGCCTATGACCACTACCCAGGTACTGATAAAATAAAACTAATCTACATGGATATTGAATTTTAATTTATTATTATAATACGTACAACCGCCGGAAAGCACGAAGCAGATAAGGGCATTACGAAAATTACCCGTAGCCGTGCGTTCAAATCGATTAGTCTGCACTCGCGCTCTTACGCAAATAGTTTATCAAGCGTGCAGCGGCGTCACGTAATGCCCAAGTTTTGTACAGAGCAGCTGACTTGTTGCACAAATGTTTAAGTGTTCTCACTTCGGTATCGTGTCGCTGCCAGCTCGCGGTTGCCAACCGTTCGTGACGGAGAATGTACTAACGTTTAGCTGCTGCAGTGACGTATGCAATGCACACAACAGCTTATTTTAATAAAGTCACGCCCACGGTTTACTTTCTTTATTACGTAGCTTATCTCTATTACATTTTATTATTATATATGTATTTGCGTCCAAAAATAATAGTTGTATTTCATTCCCTGTTAATTATTATATAACATTAATTTGGTATACAATTTTCAATTTTAGATTATTTATAATTTCTGGCTCGACGTGCTTAACATCTTTAGGATGTCTGCTTAATGAGGAAATAATTACGTAATTTCAGATTTTTACGACAGCGGTAGCGGTAGTGATGAGCAAGTGGTGCGCCGCGTGAGTCGGCCGCGGCGGGCTGCGGCGGGGTCGTCGTCATCAGCAGCCAGCAGTACCGGGCCCACGGGCCCTGGCCGACGACGACGATGCGGTATCTCAGCGCGAGAGCGCAACCTACGTAGGCTCGAAAGTAATGAAAGAGAACGAATGAGAATGCACTCCCTGAACAGAGCATTTGAGGTAAACATTAATCATAATCCAATAAAACTATCTTAGTTGACATTCACCTATAATAAGCATTTTGGCTTGACTTAGTTTCTTTTACTTTCTAGGATCTCCGACGAGTAATACCACACGTCAAGAAAGACAACAGGAGTTTATCAAAAATTGAAACTCTTACTTTAGCCAAAAATTATGTAAAGGCCCTAACTAATGCAATATGCACAATGAGGGGTGAAGTACCGCGATACCAGTAAGTATTTTTCACACTTTATCCTTAGAAGTTATAACTTACTTAATAAAAGAATAAATAATATTATAGTTAGTTGTGCTATAATAAACTCCCTATTGTTCGGAGGTAGTAAAACTTTATTGTCATTTGATATCATAATACTATATTGACTATTTCGTCCCAGAATTGTTGTAAATAGGTTTCTAAGTGGTTTGAGTTTCCGAAAGATTTTTCCTTCCGTTTATTCGATAAGTTACCAAATTATACCTTGTCGATTTACCCATCTCCTCACAACAGGAAACTTCAGCTCAGGAATAAAGTCCCTTTATCTCAATTCCAGATTTAATAGTGACGACGAGAATGTAGAGCCTGTGTTCGTGTTAAATCGAGACCAGGAACAAAACAATAACGTGCCAAGTGATCAGAACCGAGAAGACTCCAGCCCTGGCTCCAGAAGTTGCCTCTGACAAAGACGTACTAGTCCTCGCCTCGCCTCCCTCGTGTCCACCGCCCGCTCTCCAACTGTATCGACGTGAACAAACTCAAACAAAGGAATGATGAACTTATGCATACATCGTGCATCGTCTTAGTATGTGTCCATATTATACTTAATTATATTTTATTAGTATTCTTGATATGCAAAAAATATTTTAAGTATTATTTTTGCAATAGGTAGAACCTGTTCGCTAAAAGTATTTGTGGCATATATCACTTGTAGAGTTGTAGCCCCCGATCTAAAATAATAATTATGTGGGTACGTATGTACATAAGTGCCTGATTACGTAAGGGGCTAAAGGATATACTGAGGTAAAGAACAAAAGTAATAAGAAGCGAGTTAAGCGTTTAATCAAATAAGATACGGCCAGAGAAAATAATTTTGATAAAGTCGGTTCATTTGAAAGTATTATGCAAGCTGATGCTACGAAGACATAACTCGATACCTGTAGGAACATTGACACCCAAAGACCAATGGTACGAATTAATTGCTAGATGTTAAATATTATTATGTAATCATTATTTAAGCATATTATTAAAAAGTCATTATGAAAAAAAAAACAAAAAAAAAAGAACAAGATTAGTAGCCAAATTTATGTGATGAATGAAATTAATATTATCGTTTCTATGACGAAACGACAAAAATGTAATAAAACAGGAAATCTATATACCTATGTAATCGGGTAACAACTAGCAAATTGATATTTTAAATATAATTTCAAAGATGCTTGTTTTGTATAAAAGTGAAAAAGAGTGACTAGGGAAAATCAAAGTACTAACACGTATTCAGATCTCAGAGAAGCAGTGAAATGTTTGAGCTTATAAAATATAACCTCAGTAATAGTTTACCTTTGGTAAATTAAATTTTCTCATGGTGCCAAAACGACCGCTTACCTTTGCCCTATACAGATGTTGCTTTTGTGTATCTATGTATACTTTTACCTACTATCAATTACTATGGATTAAACAAATTCTGTCTACAGGTAAACAGTCAATTCAACTTTATAAATTTTTTGATGAATTATGTATGTATTAGAAATTTATCAGATATTCGTGATGCTTGCAATTTTCGTTTGGCTTTACCTACATATAGATATCGTTATTCGACGATCTTTGATGTTATAATAAATATGCTATTATTATAATTAATGAAATCTCAACTTATAGTTACCTACCTACCTTTGAGTTTATTTAAGTTTAGTTTATAATGAAAATAGGTACATATTTTTTGTAAGTACATTTACCTATCTATAAATTAATGAGAATGTTGGAAAAACCATTTTGATGAATAAGTATTTAGCAAACTTGTTTATTAAGCATTTTTACAGTCATTATGACTTAGCTATATGATGTATCTAGTAGTTATAAAATGTGCAAATGTTTTTTTTTATAGTATTTTATGCAAACAATTTGTGATTAAATTATATGACAATTATATCTGCGAGAACATTATACTTGTGTTTATTTATTGTAATGTTATCCCAAAAACAATTGATAAAGATATAAAATGTTTCATCTTGAGTTTACTAATTTAACTTTAACTGCCCCCTACTAAATCAAAGAAATAAAAGGCTATAAGAATAATATTAAAAGACTCCTGCAAGACCAGAATGCGTTGCCAGCCACGTGGCGAGGAGAAGAGGCGTCTCCACTGGTCTCTAGTCATTTCACTCACTTGGCAAAACACATATAATATGAAACACACCTGCATGTTTTCCCATGTCTAGGTCTAGGCATAACACAAGAGACAAAAATACATTTCATAATAACGCATAGCTGGCATAAAGTTTGTGAGACTGCTTGTTGTATCACAGGTTCGATTTTATTGTGTGATTGTGATCCACCTACCTACGAATCTGCATATTGTTTATTTATTTACGGACCTACGTCACAGGAGAAACTCCTAGTGTGGGTTGATGCTAAAATAAAACGATTATGATTAGTCAAAGTCAAAGTCAAAGCATTTATTTCAATTAAACAATAGTTTGGTACTTTTGAAACGTCAACAAATACAACAATAGATATGAGGCCTATATATAAATACACATCACACACAACATACATATCTACATAAGTTATTAAGTTAATTGGCTTTCTAATGCTAACTATACGTTGTCATATAAATACTTCGAGACTGTCAGCAATTTCAATTTTGCTGACCACTGAAAGTTAACTCATGGTCCCACAGCCTACTGAATTTATTAATTTTTATTTGTATATGTGTAAACTTATTTTACTCTTTGGAGCCGACTAAGGGGTCTTTAGACCGCAGTATGTCATTCACCTGCCAAGCCTGGAAGTTATAAGAAAGCCTCATAAGTAGAGGAGACCAGGGCCAAACTCGGCTCTTGTCTAGTTTGTCTTAGGGATAATAGAGGTACGGCTCTCATCTAGATCTCAACTAGATAAGATACATCTAGACAGGCACTTGCCTAGGGTGCCAGTTACAGAGGTAATTGGCGCCCTCGCCCTAGGCAAGTGCCAGTCGCTGGGCGCCGCGAGATGCGCGTGTCCAACTGCCAATAGGGTGGTGGCGGTGCTAAAAACAATTAGTATAAATAGTAGGTATTTAGTGATTGCTAAGGGTGCTGTCTACGTTGAATCCACCAATGAATTACCACAGGTTGTTCGTGAAAATGCACTACTGAACTAGGTATGTTAACGTTGATGGAATAGATTGGATGATGTTAGTGTAGATGTTTTTTAGATTAAAATACCTTTATGGATTATTTGTTTAACTTTGCATTCACGTTTTCACGTAGGTAGGCCTTGCGTTACCATGTACCTACCTGTTGACCATGCCTAGTGATATTAGATAGTGACTACGCAAGTCTAATGCGATTGCGTTCAAATGATCTAAACCTTTCATTGTCGATTTATTTTTTGTCATGTTATTACGTTATATAACGGGTAAACGGGGCTCTGGCTCGACGTGCAGGTGAAGGAACGGGGTTGTTTTTAGTCAGTAAGAGTCTGACACTCCCTCCCGCCTCACCCAGGCGGGAGCAGTCATTCGATGATTTTACCAATTTAAAAAATACGTTATATACATACATACATTATTATTATATTTGTGCGCGATTATCTCTCGACTGACTAAATCAATATTGATGCAATTTTCAGAAAAGTGTTTAATGCACTTAGAAGAAAGTTTCAGTACCTACCTAGGTATATTAATAACAAGCTATTGCCCGCGAATTCGTCCGCGTAGAATATGAATTTTAGGACATAACTTTTTTGTTTCAATTTTCCAAAATATAAGTAGCCTATGTTACTCCTGAGTTCATTAGCTACCTGCCAACAAAAGTCAAGTCAAAATTGGTCTAGCCATTTCAGAGATTAGCCAGTACAGACAAACAGAGAAAAATTATAAAAAATGTTATTTTGGTGTGTGTATCGTATGAATATTCATATATGCATAGAGTCAAAAAAGAGGGATAGATGTCGGTTTTTTATACGTAGTTTTTATAATTATGAATTTTCTCTCAGGGCGATCCTAATAATCACATTTAAAGCGAATGTTTTTGTGCTCACCAGATGGAACTAATGTAGCATTGGCAAGCACAATCTGATTAATACTTAAGTTTTTTTATAATTACTTGCAAAGTTTTCAATGTCGAAACGCCAAGAAGATGCAAATAAGAAAACGAATCTTTTGTGGTCTTTGACAATAATTATGGACATCATGAAACATGTGTGTTTGAACGTTTGATTTCTACTCAACATCGAGTTGACTCCGATAAAATATTTGAATATTTCAATCACAAGATATTCACTTTACAATTTTTTCTAATTTATGTGTCTAAATAATATTTAAATTAAAATATTTTTGAGTTGTAATCACATTTGTGAAAAATCGACTATTTGGATAAGTGTTGCCAACATTACCTTTAGTATCAAAAGTTGAATCGATTCTAACTATGATATTCTCGATTCTATTCGATTGCTAGTAGCGAAGCGAGAGAGCTCTATCACCCAGTTCCACCAACTGATTGTCTACGAAAAAAATCCTCATGTGCGTGTGTAGTTAGATTAGATCAATTTTAGAGCAATTTTGTGTAAGAAACTTTATACGTGATTTAAAGTTGAATATACAAGTAATAAACGAATAGAGCTTGCAAGAAAACACAGTTTGTAACCAATTCCACCCAAATTAAGTTACATACTTCACTTAGATACATTCTGCGTCTATCGCAATATGGCCGTCCTGTAATGATTTGGTGGCCAGTAATATTATTGTGATTTCATTGTATGCTAAATACCAAAATGGAGCTTCGAGTCGGTAATAAATACCGGCTGGGCCGTAAAATTGGCTCAGGATCTTTTGGAGACATTTATCTTGGTAAGTGTGTTGAGAGATTATAGTAAACAAAGAAAAGTGGTCATTTGGTAGGCCAGCTGCAGTTTTTTTCGTTTCGAAATAGCTAGCATACCTTTTTATATCAGTGGCCTATTGTTAGTAACTGATCTCGAGTGTTTCTTATTAGCTAATGTTAGGTTGTAAAGTGGCTTATTATTTTTATGTGTTAGTCAAAGTCTGACGATAACATGTGATTGACTATTGAATCCGTAGTACTGCTTCTACGCCTTTTTTGTGTAGTTACCCACTTAAATGGTCAAAGAACATGTACAGGGGCAGCCTTGATTCTGTCAAGTTCTCAGTTTCATGTTTCACAATGTTTGATTGGGCTGATTCGTCTTGGTCTACCTTGGTTGTATAAGATGCTATTTCTGCTTTTCAGGAACTAATATTGTCACCAAAGAGGAGGTAGCTATTAAATTAGAATGTATAAAGACAAGGCACCCTCAATTACACATAGAGAGCAAGTTTTACAAACTTATGCAAGGAGGTGGTGAGTAATTTCAGTTATAATAATAATGTTCATTATGTGGTTTAGCAACAGTGTAAACTATAGGATGAAACAAATTGAGTTTGGAATACATATTTTCACATACTATTGCAAACAGATAAATGTTTGTGTATCTATTATTCATCTCAGTCATGTTTTTATGAAAATATTTATGTCTTATGTATTCAGGTAATGTAATGCCTGTGATGAATGTTATTGAATAACCTATGTAAATATGCTATTTAGTATTTCTGCATGTAAGTTACTGCATATTTCATTGAATCAACTGATCATAGATTCTGTTTGTTTGTTTGTTAAAGACCAAAAAGTCTTGATTGTTTTTAACTAATTATTTCGATTTACAAATCATATTTTTTTTCTCTACAAATGGTACTCCCTTCATAAAGAACTGCATATCAATGTATTGCAATGTTTGTAGGACCTGTATGTTTATCAAATCTAAAGTTTTTGTAATCTCTTAACTAATTTACATAAAAAATCATGTAAACCAAAGTGCGGGTGTGGTTTTAGTGATTAAGGAAAATGAAATATAAAGAAAAAATCATGTAAGAATATCACTACCACAATAATCTATAATTTATTTATTGTTAACAGTTGGTATACCTGCAATAAAATGGTGCGGCTCAGAAGGAGACTACAATGTAATGGTAATGGAACTGCTTGGACCCTCTTTGGAAGACCTGTTTAACTTCTGCTCACGTCGCTTCTCCCTCAAGACTGTTCTACTTCTTGCTGATCAACTCATCACGCGCATTGAAGACATACATTACAGGAACTTCATTCATAGGTAACAAATATGACTTTACTGCTTCTACATTGTACTTCCTCAATGAATATTTATAATGTATAGAATCATAAATAAGTATTTCTTTTATTTTTATTCTCTTAAACCTAGAGAATAAGAGATAGAAAATAGATAATAATGCTTATTATCTGTCTTCGAACTATCATCCATTTATATAATATAGCTTATAACAATGACCTTCACTGTCGAGTATGTTAGCTAGAAATGTCTTAGTTTTTGTGAAAATAACAGTTAAAGTAATAATTACATTGCAATTTTTTTATTTGATTGAGACTTTACTTACTTGTATAAAGATAATGAATCTGGACTATCTGCAGTAATAAGGACAGATATAGATACTTGTTGCAGGTCAGCTGGAAGGGTAAAAGATAATAACTACCTGTTTACATAGCTCATTACTTTGCATTTATCACTGACGTTGATTGTATGCTTGTAAATCTAATCAAGTAAATTATACAATTTTACAGTACACTGTCTCAATGTATATTTTCATATTCTTAATGTATTAAATATTGTGTTTTTCTTTTCATTACAGGGATATAAAACCAGATAACTTTCTTATGGGCCTAGGTAAAAAAGGGAATTTAGTGTACATAATAGATTTTGGCTTAGCGAAAAAGTACAAAGATGCACGCACATTGCAACATATTCCATACAGAGAAAACAAAAACTTAACAGGTAAGATATAAAGTTGATTATATTATTCAAATGTTGTAAACCTGATTTACTCAGTTCTATAACAGCATAAATTCCTGTTTTATGTCTATGCAATTTTCTTAGCTGTATGCATTATGCATTCTTTTTAAAATGACATCATAATTTTCATTGATATTGTTACTTGTCAATGCAACAGGCAATATGATTATACAGTAAATGTTGCATGTATTTCATACTTTGTGTAAATATTTCAACAACTGAATCACAATATCTCTTTTGTTGCTTTGTTAGATCAATTCAGCAATTGCTGTAACCAAAATTGGATGACATGTTGATATCTTCATTATATTTCATCATTTCTGAAAACAGTTGCTGAAAGCTAAAAAGCATGTTTGTCTCTTTCAAAGATGCAATCTCACAAGTATTTGTATACTAACTGTCTCTAAATAAATATTATTTATCCCATAATGTTTGAGATTTATATTAAAACTAATGGATCAATGTAAACGTTATAGGAACAGCGAGATACGCATCGATAAACACACATTTAGGCATCGAACAATCACGACGCGATGATCTGGAGTCATTGGGCTATGTACTCATGTATTTCAATCGTGGAAGTCTTCCCTGGCAAGGGCTGAAAGCTGCTACCAAACGCCAGAAATACGAGAGAATATCTGAAAAGAAATTATCCACACCTTTTGATGAACTTTGCAAAGTAAGTTTCATAGAAAAATATTGTACATAGTACATATTTTGGTTTGTTATATGAAGTGCTCATTAATGACTTATATTATTCCAGAACCACCCTATCGAGTTCCAACTGTATCTAAAGTATTGCCGGCGACTACGTTTCGAGGAGAGACCTGACTACAGTCATCTCCGTCAACTATTCCGCACACTCTTCCATCGACAAGGATTCACATATGACTATGTGTTTGATTGGAACATGCTCAAATTTGGTAAGAAATATTTTATAATTTGTATACTTTGAATTGAATATTATAAACGACGTATTTTTTTACTCATTTCATTTTTCATGTTTCCAGGTGGTCAACGTGGTAATTACCAATCAGGTGGCACTGACCGCACGTTAAGACGTCATGAACAAAATCAGGAACAAGAGAACAGTAAGTAATTTGAGTTCACTTACTGGAGAGATGTTTCTGGAGATATTTGTCTATACATATCGGGTTGGCGTGTCGGCAGCAAGTGTTGATTGGTACTAGACTAACGTGTAACGTACGTGTACAGCGGCGGGCGCGGCCGGGCAGCCCAGCACCACTGTAGCGGCCATCTCGGAGTGGCGGTGAGGGACCTTCCTGTCGTCGCAGTGTTAACACCACCTAAATGGAACCACGTTCGTATTGTGACTTGCATGTTCTGTTCGTATGGACGAACATTACACAGACTCGATATATTCACGTATTTGACGGTGTGTTTTAACGACGACTTATCACGTCATCGAACCGCGCAGTAGGAATTGAGGCGTGAGCGTGAAACGTCTTTGGACGTTAACGTTTCGAGATAATAGATTCTGTATTAAAATAAGGAAACAATTTTGTATGCATTCGTGTTAACATTCATATTATTGTAAATTATTTAATTATAGACTAAGTATGATGATGAGTGGGCCGTGAAATGAAGTTATTTGTTTGAATAACACTTGTTTAAGCATAGAGTTAATTGATAGGCCTACCCATGCATCGTTGTACTTTATGCTCAGTTATATTTAGAAGTAAGATACATATTCTATCATATTGGTAAGATTAAACAGTAATTTGTCAATTGGTCCCAAGAAAATCGGTCATGAGACTGTGAATTAAAAATAAAGCACTATTCTGACAAGCTTAGTGATCCCACTTGGTGAAGATTTGGCTTATGGGATATGTTCATCATAGCACAATTAAAATAGCCATAAGTTTAAGTAATGAAAAGTGATATTGTCATGTACCATCTGATTTAACAATTTTACTGTAGCATTCCAACTCCTATAAACAAACTGTATTCCAAGTGATCACTGATTCTTGAAAGTTAAACATTTCATAGAATGGTCCAACATTTTTGTTAAATGAAAGGAATACAAAACTTAATATTACGAATTATGTATCGGATAGTTGTTTGACTACAGTTTTGGAATTGTAACTGCCAAAAAGGCTATTCTTATTTGGTACATGGTATTAGAAAGAATGTTTTTTAGTTTTATTATTAGTTTGTGGTCCTTCCTATTAGGATGGCCGATATTTTTTGTGGTACCATATTTTGACTAATTTATCCTATCAATGGGCTTTAATAATAATCAAAAAGGTCTTTATTGATAATGCTTATCTTTTATTCAACACTATTTTGTGCAATATAGTATCTTTGATCTTTACCAAACTTTTTTTCAATTTATTTTTATTGAATTTAGCATTTGTCTTCCAAGTTGAGTTGAAATATAACCAACATCTTTGTTTTATGCCGAAGGAAGTAATATAAGTGAATGTGACGTATAGGTCGTCTGTCTAAAGCAAAGTCAGTATAGAGAGTGATTGTTGTTGAACCAATTGATGTAATAGATTTCTTGTTTTTGATCAATCAATTGATTATGATTGTTAAATTTCATGTGTCTCTTGATTGTTCCTCTGATTGTGGATAGGCGGCCTAAGTAATGATAGTCTAACAATGTATGTCCAGCCACTGCCATAGTTTTAACTAGGTAAGTTTATTCGAAAATAAATTGGCCGGAGAAAACATTGCACTCATAAGTTTTTGTTCAGTTTCTTTATGGAGTATTGCATTGACTAATTTAAAAAAGTGTAGAAATAAAATCTGATTTTATATTTTGTAGTATCACGTTCATGTAGACGTATACCTACATTCCCGCTAGAGCTATTGCTGTCCTCTATGTTATCCTTATTACCGATCTAGAACTGCTGGGAATCTATGATCTCATATAAATTACCAAATTTTCTCATACATAATGTACCTAGTTCAATTAAACCTGTTACCAATTCTCATATTCTGAAAAAGTGTGGTTTTGTTCATTTGCCTTGAACTGCAGAGTAATAGATATGTCCTATTCTCTGTTAATATTATGATTATGATGAATAGTTTGTAAATATGAAAGTTTAAAAAGTAATATGATTTTTTTATAAAGTGATATTGTATTGGACCGTATCTTATTTAAACAATGACACCTCTTAATATGACTGAGAATTAGGTTCAATCTTATGTAAATAAATACTTAATGGTTAATATATCCGATTTCATTTCAAGGGTTTGTATCGCAAAGCTTTGAGATTTCAGAATCATCCTGTTGTCATGATATTGTATAGTTAGATAGGGGTTTAGTTTAGAATAAATCATCTAAATATTATTTTTACGATCAGGCACGAGAGTATGACTTTGTATTGTTGATATTGTAGCCATCATCTACTGTTCAGTTTTGTATTATTGCACATTATTTTAAGTTTGAATCCAATATTAATTAGATCTACAGGGTATTTTGTAGCATTTTGAGAATTTCAGTTTTCTGTTTGAATTTGTTTTATAGACAGTTACAAGATTTGATTCACAAGTGGAAGTGACAGTCGTCTTACTTTTCAACGCTGTGCCAACATTGATATCATTATATTTTTAATGTTTACAATACGAGTGTGTTTTAGTTAATTCCTTCATTTAGGAGAATTCGTAATATGTTAGTACCCAAATATTTTGATGATATTGTGTTACTAATTCTTATGAATTTATATTAATTAATGTATATTAGATGATGTTTTCGTGTTCAAATATATGGAGGCGACGATGTCGTGAATAGTAAGTGATGCGTGGAGCCGAGGCGCGGCCGTGCTGTATTGTCCTGTGCTTGTCGTCAGTGTGTGAAGTGCGCAACGTGTATCTCAAATGCTTTGGCGGAGGAAAGTCGTAGCTTGCTCCTAAAGTTAAGTGTACGCTATAAACGACGAAAGACTTTATGGACTTAATTTTGTAAATAATAATACTTTTAAGATAATTAGATAAGCAGACACACTGTTTTTTACAATATTCTAGGTAATGGAATAAATACATACATAACTGTTGTAGCGATAATGTCATTGAAGTTATTTTGCTGTTATTGTATTTTTTGTAGACATGTCACGATTCACGAACCATACGATACATTACGATGTCTTTGAGATCAGAAGTTGCCTGTTAGTATTCATTCAGTTAGTCCTGTTTGAAGGAGGGAACACACTTTACATAGTAGATTTAGAATGAAAAAATGACGTAGAAAAACATCTGCTTTGATTGGGTATAATTTAAATTTAAGTGACCACAGGTTTTGTTCCCTCCAGTGGCGAATAATATGCACTATTATATTAACAACAAGGCTTAAAACTGTCTAACCATTCTATGCCATTATTTACCTTCACAAGTGGTATGTTTTCATTACAAATACATAATGTGCTAGCTATCTTTAGCATATGCATTATAAATAAATTGTTATGCTTGCATTGTTTTCTATGTCCAGTATGTATAAATTCCTTTGGCACAATAAACTGAGTAAAATAACATTTTGTTTTCTTGTAATGATTTAGACACATTTAATATAATATAAAATTAATATAAAAATTCTATGTAGCTAGGTATCCTCCGTCCACTGGCAGATTGACTCCTGTGATCATACTGGCGGCGTCACTCAGGAGAAACAGAACTGTATTAACCACTTCGTGTACCTCTCCAAATCTAAAAAGTAAATTAATTTTAGTGAAGCATACCAAATGTTATAAATTATCATATAATCAAGACTTTTGTGAATCTGATAAGTGTTTGACTTAAAATTACGAATATATTTCATAATTTTAAGAAATGAATGTAATAAATAAAAGAAACTTACCTTCCCAAAGGTATCTTCGAAAGCATAGCCTCCGCATTTGACGGATCTGAGAACCAGACCTTGCGCCCCAGATCTGTCATTATAACTGTTGGATTAACAGTGTTGATACGAATTCCATGTGGTCCCAGTTCTAAGGCCATTACTCTTGTTAAAGAGTCAACGGCACTTTTTGAGGCACAGTATGCAGTGTGGTCCTTTAGAGCACTCTGTAAAATAGAAGATGCAATGAGAACTTCTTACGTGCGTTACCTACCTATAAGTAGGTACTAATACTAATTATGTAAGTAGATACCTACCTGGGTTCTTGTAAATAAGATATGAAACTATATGGTATTTATCAAACTTACTTTGGAAGCCTGTGATGAAATATTTACAATAGATCCTTTTATTTTGTTATCAATCATTTTCTTTGCCACAATTTGACTAATATTAAGGATAGACTTTACATTTACTGCCATTGTCCTGTAAAAATAGTAACGGCTTTAAAAACTGTATCTTAGTGTCACCATGCTTTAAAAAAATATTTGATATCGGATCACCTGTCGAAACTTTCTGGAGAGCATTCAAAAAATGGTGCAGTAATAGCTACTCCAGCATTATTGACGAGTCCTTCGAAGACACCTAAAGAATCTACAGCTTCTCTGGTTTTGTCCCAGTCTGCTAGGTCAACGCACACTATGTCTATAGTAGGATATTCTTTTTTTAGATATTCTAAATTATCGCGTTGATTTGAGATGACGACAACATTTGAACCTTGTCTCCATAATTCTAAAGCTATTCCACGTCCAATACCTATAAATATTGTATTACAACATATTAAATAACATCTTTAATAATAAATGAGTAACATGAGTTATTTTGGTAGGTATTTATTTGAAAATTTTACCTTGACATCCTCCAGTAACGAGTATCCTTTTTCCTTTAAAATATTTATCCATTGTTTGAGAAGTTTTAAATTAATATGCTGTACGGACACTAGTACCTAAGTCTGTAGCTCGACTTACTTCAGAATTATAAATAATCACAGTTTACTGAAAATATTTTTAAAGTCTCTATCGTATTTGATAAGGCCAGGGTTATCTAAATGGCACGTATACCATACCATTTATGTATAATTTAGATAAGAAGTTTGTTTACGATTTTAACGAAATAAGATAATCGATTACTAACATTAAACTAGATTTGAAAAAAAAAACTATCATCGTTCTAAATCACAAATAAAGAAATAGATTTGTGTCGCCTACTTTTAACGGCAATAAAAAATAACACTAACATAAATCTCTACTCCTTATAAATAGAAAAATAAATAAAAGTAACCATAAATTTTTAACAAATTGCATTTATTCAACATTATAACTTTTACATTAGTAATTAGTATTTATGAATCAGGTATATAAATGCATTATGCAAGCGTTAAATCATAAGGAGGTTTAGTGTCTTGTCCAATATTAATTCATATTTACAAGTTTTTGCTGGTACCTACTAAAAAAATAATACCTAGCTATTTTCAAGTCATCAGATTTTAATAATTGCTAAGTAATAACTCATGTTTATATACTCTTTGTATATTCTATTATTGCATAATAATAGTCTCAAATGATTAGGTTTGTGTAATATTAATTTTATTATTCATCAATAATGTTAGTCTAAGTTTAGACACTGACAAAATATAATAATCACAATGATAACAAAGTATTATCAAACAGATCCTATGATACAATTAAAAAGTAGATAATATTTCCCATATGCAACATATTTATAAGATCTACAGTTAATTGGTTATTACATTAAATAGATGTCAGAAAAGTCAATAATTCAAAATTGATAATAAATAATATTATCACAACATAAAACAAACATGATAACTATAATCATGGCCATTTGTATTTAAAGTACCATCTTTGGTTGATTTGCTAATAAACATAAATCAAAATTTAATACACTTAAGACTAAAATATGCAATTGTTAAAAATATGTTCATATTGAAAGCCACAAATATATTCACTCTTGCTATTTGGTAGAATTTATGTTTAGCAATTTGTAACTTTATGTGGCAAGGAAACCCCCATCAATAGGCAGCTGGACTCCGTTGATCATACTAGATCTTTCACTCAAGAGAAAAACTACAGCATTTACCACTTCAGAAACTTCACCAAACCTGAAATTGGAGAACACATTCATTGTAAGTACTGATAACATTTATCTGTTTATATGTAAGTATATAAAATTAGGGTTAAAATGATGTAATCACATGTCACAAGTTGTTTACGTTGGTGTAATATAAAGTTGTATTGTTATAGCTTGAAACGTAAGACTGATAACACAGTAGAGGTAAGTTAAATGGTTTAATACAAGTAAACCAGTCCTGCATGATTCCGCTCGCTGCTCAGCTTCTATTGGTCATACTGTGATGTTTTAAACCAATATTTCCAGAGACTAGTGTTCAACCAAATGTCAAATATACTATAGAAGTGAAGATGTTTAAATGTAATATGGTTTCATTACCTTCCCAAAGGAATTTTAGAAAGCATTTCTTTAGCTTTGTCTGGATCTGACCATCCCACTTTGGCCATTTCTGTCATTATGACAGTAGGGTTAACAGTATTCACTCTAATGCCGTAAGGTCCCAGCTCAAGAGCCATGGAACGAGTAAGAGCATCCAAAGCTGCTTTCGATGCACAGTAAATAGCATGGTCTTTCAACGCAGCCTGAAATCGTGAGAATTATTACATGGTGATCACAAGAATTAATATTTGTGTTGTAAGATAGACTAGGAAAATTCTCTATTTATTCTTTACAGGAAATACATTAGAACTGTTAAAACTACCCTTATGGTACCAAATTAAAACATTGCTGCCAGTGTTATTCACTTTTGCTTATCTCAGAAGGTAAAATTTGTATTTACATTTTAATAACAAGATATTTATCAAAGATAAGGATTACATGTGTAAGCCCCACCGATTGTTGGAAGATAAAGTAAACCATTTCAATGAATTGATAATACCTTAGAAGCCTGTGATGATATGTTGACAATGGCACCATGAGTTTTGTTTTCTACCATCTTCCTTGCTACCACTTGACTAATATTAAGAACTGCTTTTACATTAACATTAAACATTCTGAAAAAATAACATTGTTCATAATGACATATGATGTAGCAACCTGTATAATCCAATTAAATATGTATTCATGTTTGGTTACTCAGTTGGCTATATACTTCTATAAAACTTTAATACTATGTTATCGGTATTTAAGTCATGCCTGAACATATGTACCTATATTACAGTAAAATGAACAGTTGTTTTGCATACTTATCAAAGTCTGAAGGTGAACAATCGAGAAATGGCTCGCAAACAGCTACCGCGGCGTTGTTCACTAATGCATCAAAGTGACCAAGAGACTCAACCACTTCACGCGTTTTATCCCAGTCCTCAATATCGACGTCCACTATATCTATTGAGGGATATTCAATCTGAAGCGATTCCAAATGAGATCTTGTTCGAGATAATGCGACTATATTTGCTCCAGCACGCCATAGCTCCACGGCGATACCCCGGCCAATACCTGAAGTTAACAATACCAGTAGTTAAATACCACGCATGTAACTGTAACGTCATTACGAGCTAAAGTCATACACACTTTATGTTGTTTCCAATAATGTAAATTATTAGCTACAACATGACCAAGAAATTAAACAATAAAGAGATAACGTAAACTTACCTTGGCCAGCACCGGTAACGAGTATTCTCTTCCCTTTAAATGAGATTTCCATTTTTAAAACAGATATTTTTCTGAAGTAGTAGTTAAATATATAGTAACGTATGCCAACAATAACAGCTTAATTTAATATAATACGCATAGTCGACAAGTCCGCAGTCCGCACAGCGGCTCTCGATAACTAAATTGGTTTGACATTGACAATATTATTGTGACTTTGGCAGTGGCAGTAGACTTTATTGACTTTACTTTGGCAATCGCGTTTTGTTCTCTGTATTTTTGAGCAAAGATATGACTGCAATGTAATATAACTGAATAGATTTAACTTCATCAAATATTTGCAAAAACAATGTGGGAGACAGAAATACATTACTTAAGAATAAATAAGTAAGTAGTTATTCGATTCAGTCAGTCTCAAAAGATGTACAAAAATTTCGTTATAGGCGGCGCCACTGTATACTTAGTTGCGCTTTACTTCTTTCAGTTGAAGTTTTGATGCACATGTACAAAGTATGATATTTTGTTAATATTACCCAAATTACCTGCCTACATAATGCACATTATATAAAGCTTTGTAGGACGCATAAAATACTCAGTTGTTGGTCGTTAACCTTATCAATCCGTCAATCATTTATTTAGTTAGGTACTTAGGTATTTTTTAAGGGGGGAAAATCATCGAATCACTTCTACCGCCTGGGTGAGGCGGGAGGGAGTGCCAGACTCATAGTGACGTTCCTATTCCTGCACTTCCGGTAACCCGTTAAGGTCTCCGCCGCAGGTATTTAGGTATAGGTGTTATGTTTTATTCATGATTCAGGAAAAGAGGGTTTTCTAATGGAGTAGTAAGCGATATCGCAAAAAAAACTTATTAATTCCTAAAAGTTTATTAAACATCAATTCTTAAACTTAAACAATATTTTATATCTAAAACTTGTTAAATAAATATAAAAATAAGTTATTAACAATTTATAGAATTGTAATCTCTAATGAGACAGATACGTTTCGAAATTATATTATTAGACAAGTATTATTTACCGTAAATGGTAATTTAATATCTTCTTCTATGTAGTACCTGGACAGGTAAAGCTCTAAAACATTATTATTATAATTTTACATGCCTTTGTAAGTAGATAATTTGATATTTATACATTAGGTACCCATTTAGGTACCTACTTATACCTATTTACCTATAAGTTTAATCTTGAACATTTATTTGTTGTCGTTTGGTACCTAAGTATGTTAAATAAGTAGGTAGAGAAATAGGAGGTACTTAGTTTCAAAAATATATTAGGTACTCTTATTTTTTATCACATGACATTTGAATAAGGCACTTCAAGATAGTGGAATAGAAAACTAGTTTTTATATTCCATGGTGATCTAACTCCTGTGAAATAGGACTCAACTTGTTAGGTTTGTAAGACATCCGCCACAAATATTTTTTCTTCTTTCAACACACGCCAACACTAGGTCATTTCGATGTACCTAAGTAATCTAGTTGTACCTTTCATAATTTATTAGATATCATTCACTTTTAAAAAGTCATCAAAATACCAAACACTTCATTATCCATGTAATAAGTAAGTAATTTAAAAATCTAGATAAATAAGGCACTGTTAGGTAGTTTACTATCTGTACGAAATTGTACTTATAGGTAAACAATTATTATCTTACATTAAACCTTAAATATTACAAGTAAAAATGTTGAGATTAGATGGTGAAGAGATTTTCGAATATTATGCAGTCTAAGTAGTTGAGTGTAGGTGGTTGTTTATCGCCTGTAGGGGGCCTTTCTGTATCGACCTCGTTCTTCTTCGTCACGGACGTCCAGGTAATGACTGAACACCACTGCCCATAGGTAGAGGTACAGACCTGAAAAATTTGGAGAAATTGTGTAAGACACGATTTACAAAAAAAATTAATACCTAACTAGAAAAACAAGGTGTATTTTCATCACAATTTTTAGACTCTACGTCTATTTAGATACGATTTACGTTCATCGTATGCCTATACGATGAACTATTTAATTTCACTAAATACTGTAGTTCAAACATGTATCTAGATAATAAAATACTCACATAAATATAGAAGTCCACCAATCAATATGATTGTGGCGAGAATGACGTGGTCTTCCTTGTCGAGATAGTAGGTGATTGAGGTGTGCAGCACGCTGATCAGCAGGCCGATCGCCAGCACGATTCCCAGCACTACCCACGGAAGCATTAGCCATGACCGCCGCTGTATCACAAAAAGTAAATAAAATTAGTTTAGAATTTCTATACCTTATTTTATAACGAGAGGAGAGTCTAAATGGTGTCTAAATTTTCGGGACAAGGATATCAGATTCGTGATCACATTCAGCACCAGACCTACAAGAGGGCATGCGGCCATCCAAACAGTCTAGAGCAGTAAGCTCTATTTAGAGGATTCGTTGTTCCTTATGGGTCTCTGATGGTGGTCACCAGTGTGGTTGTAGTAAAGTTTCCTACTTGTAACATGGCTAAACACTTCTCTAGACTTTAATTTCATCTAGCGTGCAAGAGAAGGAACGGTGTGGTTTTTAGTCAGTAAGAGTCTGACACTGCCTCCCGCCACACTCAGGCGGGAGCAGTCATTCGATGATTTTACCCCCTTAAAAAAAGACTTTAATTTCAAAAGCTAGACACCTTTTGAAGTGCTATTTATAGACTAGCTCTGAAGCCCTCTACTATTTAAATGTCTACTGTGCTACGCCAGTTACGGTACATTATAATAACTAAGGAAAATTTGAATGAATATTTTAGACTTACTGGGCTATAAAACAAAAAAATATGTTCTGATTTAGGTAATTTAGTACCAGAGTCAGAAGTGCACTAATATAAAAATTGTTAAATTACGATTGCTGCCGATTGCATTTACTACTACGATGAAGGAAAATGTTTAATACCTAATACATGCAGTTTACAGTATATGAGTAATAATTACGCAGTAAGGTAATGCTGTTACATTATTGCGACACACACACATACCTACAATAACAAAGACATAACCAATTAAACATACAAAGAGTAAGTCTATGCATACAGGGTGAATTTATTTATTGTGTCATGAATAGCCAGAAGAATACGCCTACCTTTAAACACCTATTGCTACAACTTCTATTAAATACATTAATACAAACAAATGATAGACTAAATTAAAATGAAGATTTATAATAGGCATTAAAGTAACGTTTTTCTGCAGTACAAACTATACTATTTCATTTTATGTCTCTTCCATCTCATAATCCATTAAAATACTTTACTTGTTAAAGCATTACAAATCATATTTTCATGCATTATAGCAACATCCTATACAAAGTATATAACATAGGTATTGCAACACATGTTTAAGTTTACTATTTTCCAAGAACGAGCTATTACAATGCAATACAATAATATACTACATATTGACTGCACGGCAGCCGGTTGCCCGGTCCCGAAAAAAAAAAAAATTAGTATATACTATGAACTTACCGAAAATGACGTCTGTTAGTTGCATGCAATATCAAAAGTTAATTAGTTGGCTATCTACGTATTCAACGTGCTGTGACTACAGCCTACAGGTGATAAGAAAACCATTTACTTACTTTATGTACTGCTATCATCAGTAGCGTGCATATCAGTATGGTGAAGCATAAATTAATTGTTAATATTATCCTCGGAACTGAAAAAAAAACGAAATATTATTAGTAAAGACGCCAACGTAGTCTATTATAATACTGGTTGCGAGTGCAACGAGAAACTGTTGTTATAAAATATGAAGATATCAAAATGTTGGGTTCAATTCTCAGATCTGGTAAGGTGTTTTAGGTTTCTAGAGATACAAAATAATATTTAGTAAATATACGAAAGCCAGAATTACGTCTGGGTCTTGGCAATAACCTCGTCCATTTTTACATAGGGACTATTGATGACATCACTAGCGAAAATTAACGGTCATTACACTCAGGTTGCGTCTTCGGTGTATTGTGGGGTGTGATGTTATGTTATGACCAGCAAGAGGTAGGTAACCCAAGTCAGTCTCATTAGAAATTCTAATCAAGTAAACTGATAGACACTACAATGCCAAAACATGAACGGAGCAATCATTCATGCGATGCTTTGGTGCACATATTAATTAGCTATCGATAGATTGATGGGTATTGCGATCAGATTTAACTAACGAGCTCCATAAATGATTATGTTCCTGGGTCTCAGCATTCATTGTAATATTTCTAGAATATTCACGTTAATATTCATATGGAACCAACGATAATTTATCATAACGTTTACGTTCAGATAAAGAACTGCATGAAGATTTCTTATATTATAGTACAGTGTATTTTGGTTATTAGCACTTTTTGTGTAAATAGTAATTTTAACTTACTGTCTAAGTCTGAAAGTTTCCTATCGAAGTCTTCATCAAAGATGAATGTGCTGAATGTGATCCTATGCTTCTTTACGACCCATACTATAATTATGGTGGCGATAGAGAGCACGATTCCAAGGAACGCTGTGATCAGCGTGCCAGTCCGCGTCGATGCGCAGTAACAAAATTTCTGTAACCTCTTCATTGTGTTCGTTCTATGTTACTTCAAGTCCCAATACTCTGTGATGTAGTCTCACCGCCTCATCTCTGAAACAAAACAAAAACCATGAGAAAATAAAGATTTCAGTATTTGTTTTTATTTTCCCTGATAATATGCACGTTGTTATGATATGTTTGCTCTTTTCGAGAACATACAAAGTGCCTAATCTACGAGAATTGTATAACCTATTGCAGTCGGTGTTTTATCTCCATCTCGCTGATTGTTTTGTAAATATGCTAGCTAGCTAACTACAGTCGAAGGCGTGGGCTGTCGTCATTGGCTTGACCCGTTACTTCCGCGTCGCCAATGACTTTAGTGATCTCTTACGGGTCTACAAGTTTGGGATATCACTAATATTAGATAACAACAACTCTATCTCATTGCTATTCGAATGTTGCGACATCACGCATAAATTTAAATGTTTAGACGCATAAGAATGTACGAAATGTATGTTGACGTGATACGTATATTTACAGTCTGGATTACATATGTATCAGTCTAAGTACAAGTAAATATTTCCAGCAACAAAAGACATGGCCTTGCTCGACACTTGGAAATAAAATTCATATAAGCTTATCTAAAAGTCAGTATTTTATTATGTTGGTACATTGCACAATTGTACATGCTTGCGTGCACATACAAGGAATTATGATCTAAATGATAAATAAATATACAGTGCAGGTGCGTTGTCTATCGTGTTTGGTTCTAAGTTCTAAGACAAAATAATATCCATTTCAAAGTTTAATATTTATGACAAGTGTAGACAAATATCGGTGTTGGCGCCATAAACCGAGTGGAAAGCCGTAAAAACATTGCATCATTGGCTCTACGGCGACTTCCGTTCGCAACTCGTCCAAAGTGCGACACTGGCGCACCGTCACACCGTCAAACCGCCTGTTATCGGTTCCTTGGTGTTTGGGGCTATTTCTGGTTTGGTGACACGTGCCTACTCATTAAGACGACCAACACCGTAGCCATACAATTTTTTCTTATTAAACGGTTGGTAGATCACAAAATACGACGATCGAGATGTCTTTCTTTGTTGTTCAGTCATAAAGGAACTGCGACCTATTGCGTTTGCAAAATTAAACCCACTCTGTATGAATATGAGTTGGACGAAAACAAGAAAATAAAATCGAAGATTTCATCGTCCATCTATTCTAGGAGAGACCGCGCTAAGAATGTATATGTGTAACAACCATTTATTTTAGTCTTTCTGAATGAGGAGATTTATAGATCTAGATCAGGGTAACATTCTTATTTATTTACATACATGTGTCGGCGAATGTGATTCTAGTATCATATCGCCTTTTTATCTAGAAAAATAAAAAAATATGTGATCGGGTAACTTTTTTTTAATTTGATTGCTATCGATGATATGCTTTGATTTAGATTAAGTTCACATGATTATATTTATTTACTTACTTATCTAACTATGACATCAATTTTAGAATATTTTAATAAGATTATGCATTGCAATTCTCTACCGTATATTAAGTAAATAACATATTTATTTGTGTCATGAAGTCGAGACAGAAAAAAAACATAAGTACAATAGTAGCTTCCTGCGAGACCGGTTTCTATCGCTGCTACAATAATTTAAATGTCAATACATAAAGGTTTCTTTAAAGAATTAGACATAAATTGAATACAGATACCTATATCAAAGCGGTCGTAACAATTTACCGATGGCTTACATTAAAAATTTCGCAAGAACAATCTATTTTGATTGACTGCAGTAACGTTTCGGTCCAGAATTAGACGAGTTGGCTAACAGGTACCAAAATCGATTGTGGATCACGCGTGGTTCGATTACGTATTTTATGAACTGGATTGAAACTGACGACGGTAATAGGATTGTATTGTGCTCCCTTTTGATTTGGGCAATCAATCAATAACCGCTCGTCCATTAGTCGTATGCGTATCAACTATTTTTATTTGTTGGCCCATCATGCGTGAGCGCAATTACACTGTAATGGCCCATTTATAACAAAAATAAGCATATTATGATTGAATGTTTTACTTTTCCTTACGTATTTATATTGCGTAAACAAAAATTTATCGACACAAGCAATTAGAAATCATCAGGCATTAGCCAATAGTAGGATTTCAAGAGATTAATCCAATGTTTTACATAGATACTACTAATGTGGTACCTAAATTATGAACCTAAGTATAGAACATGTCAACCAGTACCTAGTATTTGAGGTACTGGATTGAAACTGATTTGCAAATAGTACCTATGTAGGTAATAAATAGGGAGACGATAACCCTCGCTCCATTATCGCTGGCATTGGCCTGACCCAGTTCGCAGATCGGCCCCATTAGAACAAATGCCTCGCCTATATAGCTACACCTATTCTATGGGCTATGGGACACACCTAGACAGTTTACACCCCATTACCATTTGCAGTGATTTTACCTTGAAAGCTTTTACTGCAAATATTATCTTAGTCCATTAAACATACGATTTACACTTAATTCACCTTGGTTTTTTAATGGGACGATGAGGAAAGTTTATTCTTTTCCTTGCAAAATGTGAATGAGGTTGAAGTAGGCACGTAGGTACCTACTCAAACTCAAGTGGTTAAATAACTTTCAAAAGTCATATTTTGATGATATTCTCGTATTCATGTTAAGTGTATTTAGCATTACACAAGAAAGTTCTAAGCAAACGCTTTCTAACAATTGGTATTTGATTTTTATATGTACTTAGTTTAGAATGTTTAATTGTGATGTTCAGTTGATATGAATGTAAACAGCGGCGAGTGAGTAATAAATCTAAGTGCGTAATTTCCGCGTGGTTCAGTAGGCAGCGGGATACTCAGTAGGTAGACATCACCACATCAACCTATTCCAATTTGTCATACCGATTTTCATCTTTGTATCAACGCTATAAAGTTGGAAATCCAATGATGAGCTAAAACCAAGTAGAACCGAGTCCCCACATAGTTGTCTTTGTCAGGGACATTGCGCAATATGAAGAACGTAATAGATGCCACTGAACTGCTCTAGTTCCGTTTGTCTTCGATTTCCATCTTTACGTTCCTTGTAGTCTCAAATACGTGGAAATGCAATATAGAAACGTATTCTATGGACTTCTATCTATTGTTTAAAATAAGGAATTACTTTAAATATAGTTCTTCCTCCTCATTGTTAGGGCTTGTCTAGAGAAAAAATAGGGACCTTTGTCTGATGGACTTGACCCAACTGCATCATAGAGGACTCATCCTCTTCGGTAGATATTCAGTATAGTTTAAGTATAAAAAATCTATATGTACTACTAAATTATCCTTCTTTCCCAGCCGTCCAGTCACTTTCTATGTGAATAATTTTTGACCCATTGATAGATCTTTTTCAAAATCTTGGAATGAATTTTGTCTACTAGACACTGGACGGAACTCCATCGTCTATACACAGCCCTTTATAGTTGTGATATAAACTGTACAGTACAGTTCTACCTTCACATAAGGTTTTACTGTATTTTCACTCCATGTTGAGATTAATTGGGTACATTAGATTAGTAATCCTTGTACTTTTATAGACTTGATATGGTTTGTGAGCAGCGCTTACTGATTTCTTTGTTACATTGTGTCGGGTACCATCTTTGTAGAGCTGCTTCTGACTTTGTTTATGTATTGTTTTATATCTATCTAGGTACGTTGAAGTAGGAAACTATCGGTTAACGGGTGCTTTCCTGTCTTCGCTTCGGTTAAATCGTTTGAAGAGGCAATTTCATTTATTAGTGGTCTTTGTATTTAATGTGTTTAATAAGTAGATGACTGCTGAAGGAATTCATTTTGAACACTACTTCTGATTTTTTCAAAAGTCTAGCACATACAGATACCCTAATACTGTACTATTCGTCAATTATAGTAATTTTGGAAGTTAGAAGGAAGCGATAGAACAATAAAGATGAAGATGAACAAAAGTAAGCATTACATTTCCCTTTTTAATCCCCTTACTGAATTACCTTGCTCCTCAACAATCGGTGATCCGTAACTCCTGAGTCAGATCATCTAAAATAGACCTGTTATATCATGTTGGTATAGATATTTACACTATTGAAAGTGTGGTTTGGCAAGCGTTGTACGTTCTTGACTATCGGTCATTAAACAAGCGAAGGTCGTCTTTAAAACAGAGCTTTCTGTTTCTGTGTCATTGTCACAGACGGCTATTGTGATTTTTTTCACGATAGTAAAAGTTAAAAGTCTATTAGAGCAGAAATGTTTACCAAAGAATCAGGAGAAAGAGATCCTATTGGCCAAATCTTATAACAGTAGTAACAGGTATCTTTCTATAGTCTCTTCCGAGCAGAATGGGATGATGAGGAGATTCCTAAAAACACATCTCTCTAATCTATCTCTTAGAATTTACAACACACGCCATGTGAAAACAGTTTCTCTTTAAATTGGCATGCTTACATCAAAAAAATATCAATAGTCTATAGGTAATAAAACACAACCAAACACAAATCTAATCAACATTCTCAGACATAATTTCATTGACAGTGCACTACCATTAACAAAACGGGACGATAAATTGACGAGATCCACTTACAACTGTTCACATGTCCGTATCATCTATACTATCGCTCCCAATTCATTTAATCGATGTTAAGTAACGCAATCAAGAGTCCGTTGCAGGCATCTGTATGCAATTGATCCGGGCATTCCACTTCGTGCCCACACTAGTCCCAGATGCTTGCTCCCGATTGAAACGCCCATACACTACATAATCCCACTGATGTGCATCGACAATACAGTTACACTGATTCTTTATGATAATGAGTATCGTCTTATCGCGTCAATAGAACCTTGTAAAGAAATGAAAAATGACATTGTTGCATCTATAAATATTAAGAGAAAAACAAAACAGAAGGTAAAATGAATGATATTTCATTTTCTTTTCTGAGTTGTATAAACAAATAGATGCATATTCATAATACATATTAATAGCGTTGGAGTAAATACGTTTTTAGAAGGTCAAACGGGTACCAGTCAGTGGAGCAAAGTCAGTGTCATTAACTAATTAACATGGGGCCTTG